CCCACACGAGACATGGATGAGATTTTCCATGTATGAAGTTTATTGAAGATGGAGCTTAAATGAGAGTGATCAACCTATCCACTGCTATCCCAGGGAGTTTGTTCCAATTCCCTCTTTATTTTTATGTTTTTATGCATAATATGCAATGAGGGCATTGCATCACATAAGTGTGGGGTAGGGGGTTGGTTACATATTAGTCAATTTTAAAAATTTTGCATACCAAAAGGATTATTTAGGATTAATTTAGAAAATTTTGGTAAAAAAATTAGGATTCCATGTTAGAATTTGTTAATAATTGCATGACAACCCAAATGTTTAGTTGAGCCTATATACGTTCTAGTGCATTTGTGGCTTCCTTATTTCAGTGAAATCATGAGACAAAAACACGACCTTGCTCAGCCTGAGGGATGCATATGTTTAGCAGCCTAAACCTGAAATGTATCCAGGAAGATTTTTATCATTAGCCAATAAAGGTTGAGATTGAGCGCCCCTGCTTAAGCATGTAGGGATTTGAGTGAAAAAAAAGTGAGGTATACATGTAAAAAAAAAAAGAGAGAGAGAATTACAAGAAAAAGTTTGAAGAATTTTTGGAGCATCAAAGTTAAGTATGAAATATGAAGATCGAAAATTCTGAAGAAATCCGAAAAAGTTGAAGATACCAAAAATCAAACAACAAAGGTGGTGAATTCAAAGATATCCAAGATCAAATTATCAAGCAAGTGAAGAATTCCAAAGAGCTCCATAGTGGTATCGAAAAGTTGTAATTCTAGATTATGTATGCTTGGGTTGCTCAATTAAAAATACCTTGAGGGTAAAGAGGTTTTCTGAGGATGGATTCGGAGGGTTGCATAAAATGAGCATAGTTCGGGGTGAGTGGGCGAATGTTTATGAGGATTGTGAGTATTTGAAGTATGGGGGTTTTTAGGAATTTTAGACACAAATGCATGCGTTGCGGTCTTGGCATAATGGCTGGGTTGGATTGGAGTTATTATATGTGATTCTAATGTGTTAAAATTCAGTTTTGCTTGAGGGCAAGCAAAAGACAAGTGTGGGGTATTTTGATATGTGCATATTTAGTGTGTATTAAGTGTAGTTTATTATTCATATATTAGCTAAATTGTTGCATATTATGGACAAAAGGTACTTAAAAGTGTTAAATTATGTTTTTCAGTCCAAAGATGAAGCTCGGAAGCGGTTAGGAGCTCAAGAGTGGAAAGAAGAAAGAAAACACCCATAAAAGGCTTCTACTCGTCGAGTTGCCTCTTGACTCGACGAGTCCGGTCGCGGACTCAGAAAGATAAGCATTCGGAAGTCAAGATAGTTATCAGGTTACGACTAATGTGAGAGGGACTCGACGAGTCACCATATGACTCGACGAGTCGGGACGCATATATAAAGATAACTCTATAATGCGAGAAGGGAGAATTCTGGGAAGTTTCAGAAGTGCTTAGCTGCGAATAAAGAAGCCAGAAGAACCCTAGAAGTCGACCAAAAAGCTAGAATCCAATTCCGGGAGTAATTAAGGCGTAATTTCACCATTCTACTTAATTCTTTTGTTTTGTCAATATGATTAAGCAACTTGAACTTATTTGTTTGCTGTTATTCACCTTAGTTATGAACTAATTTCTTTATACTTCTGTTTGGGGATACAAAGTTGACAATATGGTTTGATTGATTGGTAGGATTAATTCTAAGTTGGTGATTAATTGTTATTTTAGCTTGCTAAAGAACCTTGTGTATGAATGATAATTAATTTTCTGTTAATAGGAAGATAATTGATTAGCATGAACATCTATTGATTATCAACCTCATATGATAAGTGACCACTATATCATATGTCTAGGATTAATGAATATGAAACTAGGATTAATAAGGAAATTGAGTAAACTCATGTGCAAGCTTGTAAGATGACCATCGAACAAGAGGTTAATTAAGAATAACGAATTAATTAGCTATTGCAAGTCTAACTTAACCCGAATAATTAATCTAGTAAATATAATTAATTAAGCAATTGGCCACTGTTTGAATTAGTTTATTTGCTAAGGATTAGGGTAGTGAACACAACTTAATCACTTGAATCGGTAACCAACGAAAGAATTAATCCATTGCACTATTACCTTAAATCAACCATAAAGTTAACCGAGTTGAACTAAACAGAAGTTTCTTTCCCATTATTGAATCTAGTTAATTTGTTCTTTTCTAGTCTTGCATTAGTTTTGTTTAGTAAGTTTCTAGTCTTGTAAAACTAGAGAAAAAAACCCTTATTTGCTAAAGTAATTTAGATAGAATTAGTTTTTAATTTAATTTGCCGTTCCCTGTGTTCGATACCCTGCTTATTTAGCTATACCACAATTGATAGGTTCACTGCCTTTTGTGTGTTATTTGATAATTAAAGTAGGATTAAAACTAAGTGAGTTTTACACACATCAAGTTTTTGGCGCCGTTGCCGGGGAACGGTTCTAAAATTAGCATTAAAATTCTAATTCAATCGATCCTTTGTGTAAGATTCATCTTACACAAAGTTAATTTCTGTTTCAATTTTTGTTTAAGTTTTAGTAAAAAAAAAAAAAAAAAAAAAAAAAAAAAAAAAAAAAAACACTGATTTTAACGTGAACTCGCCGAGTGCATTCGCCCCGACTCGGCGAGTCTGACGCTGAATCAGATTAAATTTTTGTTCTTTTTTACGCGTTTTGTTTTGTTTTAGTTTGCAGTTGGTTCATGACCCGAGGATCTGCTACGCCTCTAATTCCCCCTCTTGAAGATCCGGAAACCGCATTAAGAAGAAACAAGGGCAAAACCGTTGGAGAAACCGCTTCTTCAAAGAACTCACCACTCAAAAACTTCAAATCCGTTTTTAGCAAGAAGAGGAGCAGCAAAGCAGGAGCATCCAGTGCGTCGTTGACAACCGAAGATCTAATCCCAAAAGACACCGATTACGAGACCGAAGAAGAAAGCGAGCACACATCCGAGTTTGAAGAAGACTTAGCCACCGCTATGGCTAATATTGACGAAATCCCCATGGGGGAGTGGAAGAAAAGGATGCGTGATGACACCGGCCCGGGACTTGTGCAACCCGCAATCCCCGCTACCGCTACGTTTGAACTAAAGGGCCATATTCTCGCTCAACTCAAGGAGATACCATTTCACGGGAGAGATCATGAAGACGCCTATAAGCACTTAGATGAAGTAAATGACGTGGCGGATTACTTCAATGTACCTAATGTGCCCTGCGAGGTCCAGCTGCTACGCATGCTTCCTGTCACATTCAAAGGAGCTGCAAAGGATTGGTTGAAGTCACTCCCTCCCGGATCAGTTACCACATGGGCCAAAATGAAAGAAGAATTCATAGATCACTTCTGCCCACCTTCCAAGATAGCCAAGCTAAAGAAAGCCATTGCCAACTTCGAGCAACAACCCGGTGAATCCCTATATGAAGCTTGGGAAAGATACAAGAGCCTACTTCGAAATTGCCCCCACCACGATCTCAATAGCCAACAAGAGGTCTCTATCTTTTATGATGGAGTAAATGTCACCACGAGGCAACTACTCGATTCACAAGGCCCACTCACCCGAAAGCCACCTCCGGTAATAAAAGAGTTAATTGAAGAATTCTCCAGGAACTCTAGAGAATATCACAACCCGAGGAATGAAGTGAGTCGCGGAGCAGTAAATTCGGTAAACGATGGTATGGCGCGGTGATAGCGAAACTCGATAGCCTAGACCGAAGAATGACAAAAATGGATCAAACGATCCATGCTATTAGAGTTGGATGTGAAAATTGTGGCGGTCCCCATCTTACCAAGGAATGTGATCGAGACGAGAATGGTAATAAAAAGGCTCAAGTATTTTACTCCAGCGGCGATAGATACGATGAAGACTGGAGGAAACCGAAGAAGGAATGGCTCCCATACGAAGAGTACAGAAAGGCTAAGGAAGAAAAATATAAACAGAGGGAGAGGGGGTATTATCAAAAGGAAGAACCGGTGACAAGAAGACGAATTTAGAAGAAATACTTACAAAATTCATAGCCGCGTCCGAGAAAAGACATAATGATCATGATGTGGCAATGCAAGAAACCAGAAACATGTTGAGGAATCAGCAAGCTTCTATTCTCAACATTGAGAAACAGCTGGGCCAACTTGCACATCAAGTAAACGAAAGAAGACCGGGCCAACTTCCGAGCGACACCCAACCCAATCCAAAAATGAGAACGTGAGCGTAATAACCTCCAGCGGTGAAGAAGAATTGGCAGAAACACCAAGAGTTTCCAAGGAGAAGGCAGAAAAGGAAGAAAAATCAGAACAAGAAAGACTCGATCCGACTCGCCGAGTCACCAAAATGGACTCGACGAGTCCAGTCGGGAATGAAGAAAAAGCCATTTTTCTGAAGCCATACAATCCTCCTTTTCCATACCCATCCAGAGCCATTCCTTCAGAAAAAGTTCAAGCCTATAGAACCTTCATGGAGCATGTCAAGGCTTTACAAGTCAATATGCCATTCGTGGACACAATGCTCCAAACTCCTAATACTTTAACTTGCTTAAAGGACTGTTTGCTGCTAGGAAAGATCTTGCTGAAGTCGCAGAGATATTGATGAGTGAGCTGCCTGAGAAGAAGGGTGATCCGGGTAACATAGTAATCCCGTGCCAATTTGGTAATGAAGTTTTACACAAGCATTGGCTGATTCAGGGGCAAGCATTAATTTGATGCCCTATTCATTCTTTAAGAAGCTGAATTTACCAGCACCAAAGCCGGTAAATATGAGAATCCATTTGGCAAATAAAACGATAATTCACCCACTAGGCATTTGTGAAAATCTCCTTATCAAGGTGGACAAGTTCATTTTCCCAGTAGACTTCGTGGTGGTGGAGATGAAAGAAGACCCCGAAATACCAATTGTTTTGGGAAGAACATTCTTAAACACCGCAGGTGCCCTAATAGACATATGTGAGTCC